TTAAAAAGTTGTTAAAAACATCACCTGTTTAATGGACGACCTCTAAGGATTAGAAAATTAACCCAGAAATTTCTCCTTCGTTGTCTGGTGTGATCCCGACGGTGAGAATTTATGATGGCGAATTCAACCGTTGACTTGCTTGGAGTTGCGCACATTGATGTGTCGGTTCAGCACTTCTTCGTTGATAAAATGTGTCTATATGCATGCGCCTGTTGACCAAATATTACATCGTTTTCCGCTGTGAACTTTTTACATACTTATAACCTTCGGAAAGCTGTTTTTTAAATAAGGATAGAGATTAGAGAAGTACAAGGTGCTTAACCGGCAGATTATTCGTAGGTACAAGGGTAATCGTATAACCCACTGAACATTTTGAATGGGGTAGTTGTAGTTTCGGTCCATTGACTTGTCAAGTTTCGGTTATCACAGAGTGCTATCAACGGCAATCGATTGACCTACCGAATTCCTGGTAACTAAATTCAATCATTGTTTTAACCCTTGAAAACTATTAATGAATACGATATGCCTATAGGTACTTCAATTGCGTTATCCCTTTCAGGTACATCCTTTGCAGAAAGGTGGCTAGTATATACCTACTAACCGAATAATGACTAATCGGCTAAAAGATAAGCTGTTGCTGTTTAAGTAGTCCAGTTTTTCCGTTAATTCCTTTTTATAACAGTCTGGATTTTGGTTGTTAAGTATTGGTAGGTATAGGTACTTCTGGATGATTGCCGGACCACTTTTTAAGAATAAAGGCGCGATTCAAGTGGGTTCCACCACTACTTACTATAGGTAATGGCCTTGGCTATGTTACAATTGGCCATTCAGACAACCCCACGATTTTCGATCGGACTAAGAGTTTCATACTTTCGTAGCCACTTCCGTTCAGCAAGTCGATTTTCTTCGTATATGTTTCCCCCATTCAGTTACTTACCTACTGTTAATAATATAATAGAGCGGTAATCGAAACTGTGAGACATTTTTATAAACCCACAGTTTACGTAAAGTGTTACGAGGGTCAGTGCTGATGACCTCACAGGGATTTCTTAATATATAGCAGAAATAGCCCCATAAAGCGATTTACTGTAGCTTTGAGTTGAGCTGCAGCAATAAATATTAATAAACTTGAAGTTAACAAACTGCATACATTAAGATGGTCGCTATATAAATTCCCCATGAGCTTGTTTAGGAGCTTCCACAACCCTTTACCTTTTATACACACTTTATTTCCTCTACCATTTTGTTTAGGTACACGTGCAATATTTTCAAGGTAGATTTTACTACCTCCTTTCAAGACCGCGCGCGTCTAGAACGTATAGATGAAGAAGCGTGGTTAATTTCTTGAAAGTGTTTATGTACAGCGATGATGGTGCCATCACCATACTACATACGAGTACAAATCGCAAGTCTCGGTGTAACGCGTTATCTCGTGGCCAGCAATAAGGATTTATTTATCAGACCGCGTGCTATCGGGAGTTGTTAAATGCGGACATTACAATGCAAAGGATCGTTATCCTGGTGCTGTTATATCGATAGAAGCGATTCTACATCAGCATTATTGCTGAATCGTGGATGGTCGCGTTGTCGGCAACCCACGCGGGGATAGAAGAGCGCCCCGTACTTCACGAAGTGTTATTGGCCGTATTTAATTACGCTAGCAGTCGTGTCACGTTCTGCTAAAATAAAAAAACCAGACTGATCATAAGAACAAGGAGGGCCGATGAACAAACAACAAGACGCAATATGTAGTTGGCGAGATATGGCGCGTGTAGGTCGTAAGTTTGTTGGGCCGTGGAGACTGGTCACCATATCAAGTCGGGGGTTGCTTGCGTTCAAATCTATTCAAATTTTAGTCTTCCTCTTGGAATTACACAACGCTCGGTTGCCTATACAAAAATAGGCCGGTAACGTCTTAGTGCCACACTGCTCCAGTGAGAATCTGAATTACACGCTCAATAAAAAGGCATCTCGGTCTTTGTTTTGGACCGGTCCCATCAACCGCCATACTTAGGGTCGAGTCAACATTACGAAACTGGTTCTCCGGCAAAGTACTTCATTACCTTTCGATGCGTTCTATTTTCATTCCGTAGACTATTTATTGAAGCGTTCGAATCATACAGGCGAGACGACCTGAACTCTCAGGTAACTTGTCTAATATACTCCTGGTAGACAGCGGCAATAAACCAGCTTATGAACAAGACAAGTAAAGGTTGGTCGAGGGCGGTCCTCGGACCCCAGGTATAACCAATCTCACCTTATCATAACCCGTTCAGAGCACCAATAGAAGAACGCATTCTTCATTGACCAGTCACATAAAATAGTCCTGACATTACTGTAGTTATGCATATGAGAATGTACGTAACCGCAATACATGCAACGGCAAGGATTGTGCGCGTAGGGACCTCGGAATCCTTTGTATTAAAAGCTCGCCAGATCCATGTTTCACTCTCGCCAGCATTCTTAAAAATCCCATTTATTAACGAGCACTAATAAACTGGATTTTATATGCATTCATATCTTCGAATTCATGTCCATTTACCGCCAACACCATCACCATATCATAAACTGAGAAATATTTATGGATTTATTATACATTTTTATGGTATTGTAATTCCGCTTTATGATACACAACTTATAATTTATACAGTTCCAGTACTCATTAATTATTCTAGACTAGTGGGAGAAAGGAAAAAAAGCCTTGGTACTTATTTTATTTTTGATATACTACTAATTGTTTATATTCAGGTTAGTATGTTAAAAGCCAAGATTGATCGACCTAATTTGTAATTAGGTGTATTATTTGGCAACTATAATGTTTGCGGTATAGAGATTTTTTAGTTTATTTATATTGTCTCAAACTATTTAACGTGGGGATATCGTTACTATATAAATTTATTCATGTGTATCACATTAATGTCTTTTGTCATGCTTGCTATAGGTATAGCTTACAGATGGACACGTGCACTAGCAAACTATTAGACCTAACAGCAATGGTTTTGGCAAGTTATTTGTTACTGAATTTTTCCTAATTAACACTGCATCTTGTACCGCGCCTGATGTCACGCAACCCACATGACATCAATCTGTTTGAAAATGCAGGAAATCATCAAACCTTGGTTATCTAGCACTTCGCCACAGACAGTATATAAAGGAACCACCCAACTAGATTGCCAAAAAAATCGAGGAATAAAAAAAAGGGACATACCCCCTTTGCCATCTATGCTGACCCCATGCGCCATTGTGATCTTCCAGACTGTTCTAGGTGTTTTGCTACCGGTTCCGATTTTAGGTACCGATACTAATGATCTTTTTTTAGTATTTTTAAATACTATAGCGTATACTTCTCAGAAATGCTTCCTCAATGTATCAGTGGTGTTTTAGTTAGTATTCATTAGTCTGTATTGTCAACTAACGCGTCGTTTTTGATACTTTTTGTCACTATAGCGTTCTCAAACCGATAATTTAAAAATTCGCTTATGTTAAAAATTGCCAACTCCAACAATAGCATTTTTAACTTTTTCCTCAATAGCTTTGGACATAAAGATCTAGCCTCAGGAGGTAAGGCGTTGAGTATGGAATAAGAAAGTTAGCACTGCGCATTGCACAACCTATTCTTAGCGTATAAAATTTGGAATAAATTAGATATTAGAGACCACAATCTTAAAACCAGCGGTTTTTTCGATATTTTTGGAAAATCCACTTGATAAAAAAATAAATGGCCATTTATAAAGTTAATGAAATATGAGTAGATCCATTATTTTCAAGATTTGCTTATAGTATAAAGCATAGGCCTTAGACCTAGCAAGTGAAACTGCTCAAATCTTTATACCAGAATGCTCATAAATTCATTCGCAGTTTTTTTATGGAAACCCACGGACTCTACACGGTAAAAAACCTTTTCTTGATATAAAATTTTGTATTGCTTTAATTTCGTTTCTTTAATTTGACCATAATAACATTTAATTCAAAGATTATTTTTTATTTTAAGAGATCTAGTTTATTTAACAGTAAAGTATTATTTCTTTAGTTAAATTTTTTTAATGTAAAGCAATATCGTAAAAGTAAACATACATGTCGTTAGTTGAAATGTAGGAAAAATTTAAAGAGAACCTTTTTGAATGATAACGTCAAAATAATCCTATGTTCGGCTTGAAGCTTTTATTTGTGGAAAAATAATAGTGGATTTGTTTTAAAGATACATTATGTTTAATCCGAAAGGGAGAGTCTAAAACTAAAGAAACACTCGTTTTCTTTGTTCATTATTTGGCTACATTTAAATGTATTAAATACTTAAGACAAGCATTTCTTTATTTGAACTTATGCTTATATTTTTCATTTAATGCGTGCTTCTTTATAAGCAGAATATTAAACGTGCAAATTGCAGTTGCAAACCCACTGAATATACAGGAATACGCCATAACTGTCCAGTGTCTTGTCATGTTCGTATAGCGGTATCAGTTCAGTATATCCCGTGAATTTGCAGTTTTTAGTTTCTTTAATAGTGCTACTGGATGAAGTGAAAATGTATGCTGATGTTGAAAGTTTACTCGAGGATTGGGGACTGCCTCAATTAATTGAAACCTTTAAAAGTAAGTATTTAGTATATAGTTACTTATGTACCTACCTTTTATGTACCTACCTAAAGTCAAATCAAGTAGTGGTAGGTACTTGTTACTTTTATTTTAATTATAATTATTATTGGTGTAATTGAATTACATCGGATTATGTGATTAGGTCACCTGTTACTTTTTGCTTTATTTGGAAAAATAAGTTGGGTGAATTTTGAGATTTGCACGCATACATGGCAAGCATTTCAAATTTCGATTATGGTATTTCTTAATGGTTTTACTTGGTGTAGGTATAAATCAACAATTTGTGTGATTCTGTAGGTCACCGACATGAAATTTAATACATTATTAAATTATTTCCTACCAGCATTTCTTCATAACTTATGCTCTATATACATATAGAGATTATTGTTAATCCGCGAGAAACTGAGTGTATAGCAGATTTTTCATTCCGTAATCTAATTTCTCATTTCATGTTGCTTACAATCCGAGTTACAATTTTGTGTTTATTTTTTTAATTAGAATTTAGATCACTAGGTAACTATATTTCTAAAATTATTATAATTTTTAGACAACGACATAGATCTCTCAAACTTCTTTTTATTAGAAGAATCTTTAATAAAGGAACTTATTCCCAGCATTGGGATCAGGGCAAAGTTTTTATCTCTATTTAAAAGAGCAAAAGAACTGGAGAATTCTAGTATTGTAGTCCACGAAGTAGTCCAGGTATGCTGTATACATACTACACCTTCCAGATTTTCTTAATTGTACAAATTTAAGGCGGTTGACGACGAAACATCAAATCTTATCCAGGCGAACATGGAGTTTGAGTCAAACTCAGAAAATAGGGTAAAATGCATCATGCATGCCGTAAGTTTAATTGAATCTGAATTTTAATACTTATTTAAAGGAGAGAAACGAGCAATACTTTATCATACCCCAACAACATCGGCCGGCTGCTGAAATCGGACTCGAAAACATGCTTAAAAAAATTCAACTACCGGAATTTGATCTAAAAACTCTTTTATGTACCAGCGTATTTGGATCAGAAATTTTGGAATATTACAATAAAAATAAATTTTTGGATATGAAACGGAGAAACAAATTAACAGAAATAATTATTAAGCACGTTTTTGATTATGTTGCAAAATAGTGAGTTTACATCATATGAAGTCGTACCTTTACCAATACCTACCAAATTTTTAGTCGACTAACACCAGAGGATTACAATGTCCTAGCATCAAAAATAATAACGCTTTTCCCAAAGGAAACTGCTAGTACTTACTATGTTCCAGCCATTCGCAAGAGAGACTCTATAACTCGCAAACCTATACTGGCACGCGGTAAATTGGTAGACAAATGTCGAAACCTTTTACATGACTGTGGACCGAGTGTCATTATTAGGAAAAGGAAAAGTAGTTATTTGGATGAAGATGACAGTTATGGTCACACTAAAGAAAGGCAAATAGTGTTAGAAAGTGGTTAGTAAATAAATATCGATTGCTTATAAAATGTTTATAAAAATATAACTTACAGATGAGCTAAAAAATGATATGATATGGCTGCAAAATAGGCATGAGCCCTGGGATGAAGTTCTGACAAAGTGGAAGAATACGTACGGGCTTCGGAAATTATCGACTGCAGCGACTGTCAGAGAGTTCTTTGAAGAATGGCCAATTTTAAAAAAAGACAATTCAGAGGTTTTGGTAGGTTTTATCAATTTTTTTAGTTCAAGCAGATTTTCAAACGGTAATTTAACGTGAATTTTCGAAAAACGCTCGGACACGTCAATTTTTTTATTCTAACGTATAAAACGTTTACAATAAAACACGCTCACTATCCTTTGGCGCTGGAGGCACAACTCCAAAAATGTTAATTATGCCTAATTGAGCATCCAACATATAATTGGAAAGGCCTTCCCTTTTAAATATGAAATCTTATTTTTTTTATATTTAATCATTTAGTTTCCAAATGTTTTGTTTTGAGCCACCCTCCTAAGGCATTTCCAAATTAAATAATGAAATTGTTTACAATACTATTATATCTTTTAAATGTAGTGACACTTACTTAGTTGTTTGATTATTGCAGATTAACTTGGATTTTGAAAGAGAGTATCCACAATCAACTCTGAAGCTCATTTTGGACTGGGAGAGCGCGTTTCAAAAAATTTTTGAATATAAAAGTCTTACAATAAAAGATAAATTTTGTGAGGAACTAATTACACTTTTAAACAGCGAGGGCATTACGGAAGGTACTAGTATAATTAGTTGAATTGTTGTGTAAATACAAATAATTCTGGTTTTTAGATAGTACATTTGCCGCACAAATCAGTATATTAGCGTATTTAGTACCTCCTAAAGGCAAAATTAATTTGGGTAGCAAGAATTTGTGGAAATTTTCATCTGCAGAAGCAGTCAATTCTATTATATGCCATGCTAAGGTAAATATTTCTCATTTTATGTAGTACGTTCTTTAATATGTTGCTTTAATGTGCAGATTCCCGGTGACGTAGATGAGATTATCAGGAAAAACAAGGAAACCGCGGCCATTAAAAAACAGACCGTCCAACCTTACATGATAGTGGAAGGGCCTTCATTAAAACAACTTAACAATTTTTATATAGTTGTGGACGAATTAAGGTACCAGACAAAATCTGCGAAACAAGCCTTTGATAATGTTTTCAAATTATTTTTTGTAACAAACGCGAAATATCCTGCCCCCGCAGAACATATTTACCTAATTATTCAGAAGGGCATTTATCATATAAATACTCGTCAAGATAATATCATTCCATATATTATGGACATACTGGAACTTTTAAAAAAAGATTAACTCTGTGTCGATAGCACAAGATCTCTTAAATACTATTGTTACTTACTTGGTGCCATATTATTTATTAATTAGGTCTACAAGAGAAATACTTGAGTTTAAGAATATTGTAACTTGTTTTTTATTTAGCAATTACTACTTACAGAATTTTTTTTTCAAATTTAACGTTTTGTTTACATAATACAAAGTTTATATATAAAATTGTAAAATGAAGTGTGGAGAGTGCCGACGTACTTTTGTTAATCCAAAAAAATTTGCATTGCATCTAGAAATCTTTCACCAAAAGACTAATTTTATGTGTCCAGAAAAAAATTGTAGGCGATTATTTTCAAGAAGGGATGCATTCGTTAAACATTTAACATCAAAACATATTAATAAATTTCCTTCAACTTCATCAGTAAAGCCCCATGTTCGTGACACTCATACAATACCTACTGCATCGGTATTACCTCAGAATGCACAAGCTGCACATCAAGATAACTTTAATAACATTGAAGATGAACGCACAGTAAGTTCTGATAGTCTAGACACACTTGTATCAAAATTTTGTAGTTTAATAGATTCTGAAATAAGAAAATTCATTTCACAGCTTTATGACAAACTAACAATAACAAAAAGTTGCATTCAAAATATTATTCAATTTGTAAATGCGTTTTTATCATCGGGTGTTTTAGACCTGTTACAAAAATGTTGTGAGGTAGCTAATGGAAACACTTTACCGTCACAAATTTCAAATATGTTTAAATTATTAAAAAATCCATTTCTCCATTTAGACACAGAACACAAAAGATTTAAATACTTTCTTCAAAGTAATTACTTAATAGAACCTTTTGAACAAGTACTTGGGCTCAGCGGTACTCGATCTGCGAAAAAAGATATAGTTTCATTGGTCTTAAAAGATCGCAGTTTTTGTTACATACCGTTAAAAAAAACACTTAAACTTTTTTTGGAACTCCCCAAAGTCTTTGACGAAATTGTTACATATCAAGGCAACATTTGTAAACGTAGTGCTTATTGTAATATACTCAATGGTTCTTTGCACAAAGATTTTTTCAATAATGTAGACAATAAGATAGTCTTACCTTTGATACTCTACTACGATGACTTTGAGACCTCAAATCCTTTAGGAAGTCACGCCGGTGTTCATAAATTGGGAGTTATATATTGTTCCGTTGCTACTACACCTCCACAGTATTCTAGCCGGTTAGAAAACATATTTTTAACAATGATATTTTACAGTACAGACAGATTCCATTATGGTAATAAAGCATTATTTACTACATTAGTACACGAAGTAAATTACTTAGCAACTGAAGGTATAAACTTAAGTCTTGAAGATAGAGAATACAAGGTTTTCTTTAAATTGGTAGCGGTTGTAGGTGATAATTTAGGCATGAATTCAATTTTTGGTTTTGTTGAAAGCTTCACTGCACACTACTATTGCAGAATTTGTTATTGTAAGAAAAATGTGGCACAAACCCAAACGGTTGAAGATAAAAATTTTTTGAGAAATAAAATAGAATATTTAAATCACGTGGATGGTCTTCATTTTGGTCTAAAAGAAAAATGCATTTTTAACGATGTTCACGATTTTCATGTTTATAGTCATAGTGTATGTGATATAATGCACGATTTGTTTGAAGGTGTACATAGATATACTATGGCAAAAATTATAAATACTTTAGTTTCTCAAAATTTCTTTACCTTAACTCTACTGAACTCTAGAATAAGATATTTCACTTACGATACTTCTGACAAAAACATTCCGCCCCCTATCAAAGATGAACATTTGAAGAATGGCTGCATTATCAATTCGTCATCTGAAATGTTGTGCTTGGTTAAACATTTTAGACTAATTGTTGGTGATTTGGTGCCAGTTAATAATGACATTTGGTCGTTATACTTGATGCTTTTAGAAATAACAGAAATTCTTCTTTTGCCGGAAATTAATGACGAGTGCATTGCTTTGTTGGAATTGTTAATTAAAGAACACCACTCCTTATACATGAGTCTGTTTTCTGAAACTTTAAAACCAAAATTTCACATGTTAACACATTATCCAGGTCTTATTAGAAAAATGGGACCCCTTGTGCATCTGAGTTGTATGAGATTTGAAGCTAAGCACAAAGAACTAAAATCAGTTTCAAATATTATAAAATGTAAAAAAAACTTACCTTACTCGCTAAGCTTAAGGCTGCAACTAAAATTTTGCTATAGAATTATGGCACAAAATAACTTACTAGATGATTTAGATTATGGGCCTTTGTTGGAAATATCCAACAATGACATAGATTGCCAATTTATCGTAAATTCAAACTATTTTTTAGTACCGTGGCTGACATTTAACGGAATTTCATACAAACAAAGTTCAGTCATTTTGATAGATAGCTATGAAGATTTTCCACAATTTGGATTAATAAAACATATTTTAATTGACGAATTTAATAACTTTTCTTTTTACTGTAATTGCTTAAAAACCGGCAGCTTCCACGAACATCTTAGGGCTTATGAAGTCGAAGTTTTAGATAAATTTGAATTAATAACTTTTAATGAATTAAAGAATGTAGATACGTCTGCACTCCACACTGATACACATGGAAAAATGTACGTTTATTTTATGTAAAATAAATCATCTAATTTGGGGATAAAGTATTTTATTTTCTACCGCATACCATTCCGTATACGTTCAGCTTAAAAAAATTATATACTTGCATCAAAATTAAAAGTGACTTTAAATTTAACAATTACTTTTAGATGTACGTTCAGTCCAATAAGATCATTTACTTGCATTAAAATTAAAAGTTACTTTAAATTGATCAATTACTTGTATCCAATTAAATAATTCATTTCTCTTAAACAAAAATTACATTTGTTAAATGTAATTTATTTTTGATTTTGCGTTAAAAGTATGTATGTTTGAATTAAGAATATAATATTCTTATAACAACCAAGAATACACTTCAACTAAATATACAGGGATTTCCCATAACGATGTCATTTCTTTTAAATAAGAAATAAATTACCTTAAATCAAGAGTAATATGCTTGAATCCAGCATACTAACATAAATATTTAATATATTTAAAATAAATTAATCATTTCTTTGTGGATATGGGAAACAATGATATGTTTAATTGAAACGTTATCTAATTATATTAAACACATCTTTTTATGTGTGTACACTACAAATAAGAAAATTATTAATTACATCATAGGTAGATACTACATTTATAATGAACAGTTCTGTTAAAAAACCCTTATTTGTACAGATATTCAGCCCTGTGATGTATCACGTTATTTAGTATAGGCAAAAATTGGGTTTTTGACAGATAACCTGGGCGTTAGTTTTAACGTTAGTAATAATAATACTTTATTGCTCAAACAGAAAACATTCCAATAATAGAGCAACAATACACTATTTACAAGAGTGAAAAAAAAAAATTATATAACTAAAATAGTATACTTAAGTAAAGTAGGTAATATTATAAACATACAAAATTTGTAAAAACGCAAGAAAGATAATTAAATTCGATTAAATTGCGCAACATAAACCAAAAATATATATAAATTATATTAAACGTGCAAATGAACAACAGAGATATACAAGAGTTATACAAGAGATATAAGTAATAGGAGTTACGGAAGAAAAAAATAAAATAAAAAATAAAAATAATAAGTAATAATTATCTTGGAGAACTATTGAGCTTAGTAATGAGTTGGCGAAGTATTTCCGGTAGAGAGGTATGTTGTATATCACAATCCTGGCAGACCATACTAAAATTGCGAGACATGATTAATGTAGGGGCTTTACACAATATATTAGTTCTCGGAGTGCGGTAAGTGAAAGTTAGTGTAAGCCTACTGTTGCGCTGAGGAACAGAAAAGTTTAGGTGTGCAAGGAGATTAGGAGAGTCTACAATATTGTGCAATAAGCCAAATAAAAACTTAACACGGCATTCCATCGACTGGACAGTACCTACCTATACCGGGATAGGAGAGATTGGTGTGGAAAGCCTCTTTCAGGATACGCACCATCAAGCTTAAAAGAAACGTACTTCAAGAATCTGCGTTGTACTTGTTCAATAAGCTTTTTTTGCACATCGTACTGCGGGTACCAAACTATATCGCAATATTCTAATTTGGGTATCACTAACGTAAAGTACAGGGGAAACAAAACCTGTGTATCTGTAAAAGATTTTGAATTTTTTATAATAAAACCTAATGTTTTAGATGCCGACGCACTTACAGATTTGACATGTTCAGAAAATTGTAACTTCGAGTCAAAGATAACTCCAAGATCTTTTACTAATGAAGATCTAGACAAACACAAAGTAGTATCATTAATCGCGTATTGGTATAAAATGGGTTTGCGTTTTCTGCTGTACGTCACTACCTTACATTTGGGTATATTTAAATTGAGGGAATTGAAAAACCAACTATAAAACCAACTATAAACCAAATTAATTTGCTCAGGGCCGCCGTTACCCTCGACGGGCCCCGGGAATATTTTTTGATCGGGCACCTATAATTGAAATTTTTGTTGTCCATCGCCCATATCTTAAACTATAGTCGGTCTAAAATTGACGCGAAGTAATAAATTATAACTTGGTGAAATAGAAACAGTATTTTTGTATGGAAGTGCTTCTCTGTCTCTGTCTATCAGGTAAATTTATTACTTCGCGTCAATTTTAGACAGACTATAGACATTTTGCTCAATGGCATGGTTTTTTAAATCTTCTGCTGTGGTTTTTTTTATATTCTACCCTCTCATATTTTGGCCGGGCCCCCAGAATACGGTCGGGCCCCGGGGCAAATGCCCCGGCTTACCCCCCTTATCGGCGGCCCTGAATTTGCTGCTATAAGGAAATACAATCGGCGATATTAGATATTTGTGTATATATTTTCAAATCGTCAGCGAAAAGGAGATGAGGTGTAGAGATTGAGTCCGAAATGTTGATTATAAATAGGAGAAATAAAAGAGGGCCCAGATTAGACCCTTGGGGTACCCCAGAGGATACAATGCATGGATCAGACATGAATCCATTAAACGCGACAAATTGATGTCTGTTAGATAAATACATCACATGGGTGATTGTAGCATTTTAAATTATTAGTTATAGAACCATCAAGAAACAAATGCTTTTCTTACATAAAATAAAACTCAAACAAATTGTTTGATGATGGTTAAAAGCGAACGAAACTCCTATTTGAACGGAGGGGTATACAAATATCCTTATTTTCGAAGTAAACCAACGAATGTTGAATAGATTAGAGTTCCGGTTTAAATGATTTCGCATTTTCAAAACTGCAAAATTTAACAAGAATTCCTGAGTACCTTGTACGAAAAATGTGTTAATATATAATTTTATATGTGGCATAAAATCTATCTGATCGCATACTTCCGGAATCACTTCCGGTTTAACCGGAAAACAATGCAACTTTTGTTTTTGAAATGCAATGCCTATGTTTTTTACGATATTTGAAAAGAGCAATCAATTTTCTGTACAACATAAAATATGCATATGGTTGATATACAAAAAAAATGTTTCAAAACCCACTCGTGGGTGATTTAGTTGCATTGATTTCCGGTTAAACTGGAAGTATTAATAATTTTTCGTATCACGTCAAATAAAAGAGATATATTGATCCTATCTCAAACGCACTGTATACTGAAGGCATATATTTTTCAAAATTCAAAAACGACACAGCATTTATTTTTTATTTAATAATCATTTTATGTAAGTGTGCTTTAATTCATAACTTAATAAAGAATAACGGTTTAGTAATGGAAATTATAGGACAGCAATCTGGGAAAAGGGTGGTACTTGAAATTTTTTGATTCAATAAAATTTCTATAAAAAATTAGTTTTTCATAAAAAGTAGATGTCGAAAATCAAAAAGTAATTAAAATTCAATACAATTTTAATTTTTTTAGATTAAATTTATTCGTAGCCATGTCCTACAAGATAGTTCCATTGTAAAAAAACTTACGGTATACAGTGCGTTCGCGATAAGAGAGCCACCGTCACCTCAATATCTCTTATTTGACGAGATACGAAAAATTTGTCAAATTTAATTTTATATGTGACATTACGATCAATCTGATCGCAGATTCAAACTTCCAGTATCACAAAAGAGCAATCAATTTTCTGTGTGCAACATAAAATATGCATACGGTTGATATACAAAAAATGTAGAAATTCGTTATTCAATTTAGAAAATTTATGAAATCTAGCACGCCATATCATACAAAAATACAAAAAGGACCTACACTAACTTGTTCAATGATTCGTTTTTAGCGCATTTTTGCAAATTTATTTGTAAAAAGTAGCTTTTAATCTCACTTTGGCTGGCTGGCTGGCTGGCTGGCTGCCTGGTTGGCTGGCTGGCTGGCTGGCAGCAAATGTGGGCGCGTAGAAGAACTCTTGTAGAAAGGCAACGGGTGTACGTGTATCTACAAGGCCGTGAAATTTGTCAACCTTAGGGACATGGCTACATGATGTGGGGTTGGCGACATCTGGGCGTCATCCTCGAGCGTAGTATACTAACGTGAAGGTTTTTCAGTTTTTTCATATATTCTACTACAGTTTTGGTGCGATTCTTTTCAAATTGGTGTCGTCGGAAAGATGTTGTAAACGCGCACAACTCCTGCGTGGCGGAATTTTGTTTTTTGTCCTAGGGGCGAAATTAACGACCTTTTGCGAGGCGCGCGCGCGGGTCTTCGAGAAGTAGTCAACTTCGGGCGCCTTTTACCTTCCGTTGCCAACTCACGCGGTTTAACGTTTCGTAAATCTCGAATCGCTGTCTCTTTTTCTCGTGTCGCTAATAGAAGCGAATTGCGGGTGAACGGGACGTCGGAAGTGGGTACCGTCAAAGGGAATGTGGCAGCCCCCGACACTATCTTACTGATGGTGGAGTCAAAACTTTAAAAGCGAATTGCGGGTGCACGCGGAAAGTGAGAAACGGTTAGTGAATGTAGTAGCCTTCGACAAGATCTGTTATTGATGGTTGAGTCGAAAGTGGCTAATAAAATACTGATCTGCCACACAAAAATGCGCTGAAGTCCCTTCGATCTCACACGAGGACTTTGATAATTTTTTAAGATTTACTTTTGCACGCTGCAATGCAACATGCACCCTGGCAACACACGGCATGCTATATTTCATAAATTTTCCAAATATCGAATCACGAATTTCTCTTTTTTTGTATATAAACCATATGCATATTTTATGTTGTCGTGCAGCAAATTGGTTGCTCTTTTCAAACATCGTAAAAAAATATAGGCATTGCATTTGAAAAACAATAGTTGCCTCGATTTCCGGTTACTCTGCAAGTGATACTATTTTGACTATGCGAGGACGTAATGTTACATATAACATTATATTTAACAAATTGTTCGTATCTCGCCAAACAAAAAAGATATTCATGTGACCCTCGTATCTCGTCCAGTACCATTTTAATTGGAAGAAGTCCCCCGAATGTACGACCATGGTACGTTGCATCACAACCCTAGCACATTCACCGCTTATATTTTAAAACCGATAGTCTTTAAAATTGAATGTTTCATTTATTTTTCTCATTTTTCATTATTGAAAACCTCTATAGGTAGGTGTAAAATTTCGTCTATTCAACTTTTTCCTGCCC